CTGAGAGTCAACCCTATGGTCTAACCAGTCATATTAAAATAATATAATTTAATTAAAAATAACAAAAGATAACAACATTAATAATCACTAATAATAAAATATAGGAAATATAACAACAGTTTGATCGTAACAATAACAAAGTATAATAATATTAAGAATTTTGATCTTTATGGTTCATCATTAACTAAAATTAATAATCATTGATACCAAAATTATCATTAAAATTCATTTAAATCTATAGGGATTAAAATATTAGGAGCTGAATGAGGAAAAATAGGACCAATAACAACATAATCATCCAAACCGGTTCACATTGGTTTTTACCAGTTCATTTCAGTTTGACTAGTTTGCTATTGGTTCAACTCTCCCCTCGTTTAAATCCAAAACAACTAGACCACTAGCCAGTTCACTGGTTTTCTGGTTGAATCAGCCAGTTTGGTCTAGGTTTTTGTTCCATGCATCCTTTTGCATTGCATTGGAATTTGCAGCATTGATCTATGGGAATATTTTGATTAAGGACTATAGTAGACAATTTATTTCAAATAACCCCCAAAACATTCTGAAATGTCACTGCAGGACCAAAGGAGAAAATTGAAATTAATTTAGGAAAGGAAAAAACATTTTTACCCCTTAAAACTCTATGATCCTAAAGCTTTTCCCCCCTCTCTTGAAACATTCGACAGCTCCAACTCTTCTCTCTCTCACTCTCTAAAAAATCCGTTGTTGCGTTGAGAGAGATCATTTGCAGTCATCATCGTTCTGGTAAGGAGAGCCTTCACCATCACTACTATTCTAGTATGGAGTGTCTTTACCACCGATACTGTTTTGATAACAAGAGCCTTTGTTGTTGTCATAGTCTCTTTCTCTGTATTCAACCTCTTTCACTGCCTTTCCATTTAAAAATTCCTACATATAATACTGCAAATCATTTTTTATTTCTTTTATTGTAGATTTTATGGGTTTGGTTTGGATTGTTGTGAACTTCTAAATTAGCAAGAAATTTTTTTACTACTTAGATTTATGATAAAATTATACAATGGGTTGATTTTAGGTTCTCACTGTTGAGTGTTGAGAGTAAGCCTTTCAGTTCCTATGATAAATTATATTATGAATTTGCAAATTTCACTTATTTGGAAAAATAGTGATTTTGTGTTGTGAAAACTCATATTTTTGTTGTGAATTCACAAATTCTTGTTGTAAACATATATTGGTATTTAATTATTGAAAATTGATTGAAATTAATATTTGAATGATGCACAACAACATATTATATATAGCTAGTGGCAGTGGAATCAAATGTTTATGAGTTCATTGATTATTTTGAGTTTTTTTTATTACAACTATGCAAATGTATTGATGGTTCTTGTCTTTGTGTCCTAGGAACAACATAATGTACTAAAGTCTAAGTTGTTGTGGTGGCTCATTACTCATAGAAAAAATACAAAATTAGGTGTTGTTGTGAAACTGTTTCAACAGATAAAGATACAACCAAAAAAAGGCAACGACAAAGCAATTGTTATATTTCCACCCAAAATGTAATTTAAGCTACTTTAGAATGTGTTCCAATTTGTGTATAGAGAATTTTTACAATTTTAGTTTCAAGGAATATATATTATGAGATATGTTTCATATCAATTAATTTTAATCTTTTGCTTATTCCTAATAGTTTATAAGCATATGATGTACTATTGGCAAATGAAATTAGGGAATTGGTAACAATAATACATTGCTTAACAATTTCATATTTTGCAAATGTGACTGTCATACAACTAAAATTAGAAAATTTACAAAAGAGATATGTATATTAACAACAAAAACACATCCACTTGCAAGTGAATTAGTTGAATTGAAGAAGATGAACATGATAATTCACAAGTCTAGGAGGGATTATTTACAAGTGGAATTAGGCAATCTGTACATGAACACAAAAATTCAAAAGTTTGGGAGCAATAGTTCACAAGTGGAATTAGAAAATTTGTGACACGATTATGCCCATTAATAACATAAGTAGACCTATTTGCAAGGGAATTTATTTCATTCATAAAGTTGAACAGAACAATTCACAAGTTTAAGAGCGACAGTTCACAAGTAGGATTAGGACATTTGCAATACAAATACGCCTATTAACAACATAAATGTCTATTTATAAGTGGATTTATTTCATTCATAAAGCTAAACAGAACAATTCACAAATCTAAGACCAACGGTTTACAAGTGAAATTAGGATATTTGCAACACGGATATGCCCATTGACAATATAAATATGTCTAATTGCAAGTAGATTTATTTCATTCATAAAGTTGAACAGAATATTCACCACTCTGGGAGTGATAACTCAAAAGTAGAATTAGGATATTTGCAATACGGATACGTCTATTAACAACATAAATGCATCCATTTGCAAATGGATTAATTTGCTCTGTATTTACATAGTTGCCAGCCAATTTCAGAGTACAGTACCTCATCTATCATTTTGCTTTCTAAGCTCTTCACAGATTTGCCTTTCACATGGAAGATGCAAAATAATTGCTTTCCACTACCACTAACCATATATAATATATTACTGCACATCATTCAAGTATTAATTTCAATCAATTTTCAATAATTGAACATAATATATGCCTACAATAGGAATTTGTGAACTCACAACAACAATATGAGTTTTCACAATATCAAATCACCATTTTTCTGGAGAAGTGGAATTGGCAAATTCACAATACAATTCATGATAGGAACTGAAAAGCTTACTCTCAACACTCAATAGTGTGAATCTAAAATCAAGTAATCAACCAACTGTATAATTTTATCTCAAATCTGAGTAGTAAAAAATTTCTTACTGATTTAGAACTTCAGACAAGCCAAACCAAACCCATGAAATCTACAATAGAAGAAATGGAGAAGGATTTGTAGTATTATATGTAGAAATTTTTGAATGGAACGGCAATGAAAGAGGTTGCGTACACACATAGAGAGAGCGACTATGATGACAGCAAAGGCTCTTGTTACCAGAACAGCACCGACAACGAAGGCACTCTATACTAGAATAGTAGTGACGGTGAAGGCTCTTCTTACCGGAACAATGACAACGGCAAATGATCTCTCTCAACACAACGGCAGATTCTTCAAAGAGTAAGAGAGAGAAGAGCTAGAGCTATCGAATGTCTCTAGAGAGGGGGGAAAAACTTAGGGTCACAGAGTTTTGAGGGGTAAAAATGTCTTTTCGTTTCCTAAATTAATTTTAGTTTGCTCCTTTGGTCTTCCGGTGACATTTCAAAATGTTGTGGAGGCTGTTTAAAATAAATTATCTACTGTGATCCTTAATTGAAATTTTTCCTTAATTTACATCGTTGTTTGATTGAAAAAATTAACATTAGAAAATCATATTCTCCTCAAACGCTTACATGACTATAGAATGGGCCATTCATTTTTATTTAAAAAGGGACTTATTGAAGGCTTATTGAGAAAATTAATATATAATTTCACATAAGCAATCTAAAGCATTAAAAAGTCTTATAATAAGTGACATTTACCTGCTATTATTTTTTCCCTCGAAACTTGTCATTATATACTATTGTTTTATAAGAAGACTTTTTAGCAACTAAATAGTTTATGTGGTACTGTATAGTAAATTTTTTTTCTAATTATTTGATTTGTTTGCCAACCATAATTATTTGATCATTTGTATACATTTTTTTAAAGTATTGAAAATGGGAAACTGTCATTGGCAAAAAAAATAACAAAAGAAAACGGGAAAGTGATCATTCAATATTTTCAAAAGTAAATAAAATTATTAATGGCTATGAGGAAGAACAAAGGCTTATTTTACTTCATTTCACTTTTTTATTTTATTTTTGGACCTTGAGAACATGGCTTGTTTGTGCTCTATTTCTTTGAGTTTGTCAGCCTTTGAAAGAGGAAGAGGATGGCAAGGGAAATTATATGTATTAAATTTAATTAATTGCCAGAATTTATTACTAATGTAATGATCTTAAATAGTAGTAAAAGTAATTAGGTCCATGAGGTGAATTAAATACTTGACTACTTAATGAGAATATGATCAAAAATTAAAATACATCTAAGCTCTTTTTTTTTTTGTTTGGGACTACATTTAAGCTCTTTTGTTATTGATTGGGAAAGTCAGCATGCTGGCGACATTTATCTCTGAATAAAAATGGTTTTCTAAACATAAATCTACCAACTCTATTATAAAAATATTATTGAAGTTATGATTATAAAAAAAAATGTAAATTATGCCCTCTTGTCTCTGATTACATGTCCGAGAAGCGCATGTCAAGAAAAGTAGAAAACACAAATTTATTTGATGTATACAAAATTTCTTGTCTTTTAGAAGTTTTCCTCAATTATTGTCAATGGAAAATGCATTTTCATTAAGACAGGTAATCTTGATCCTTTATAAGGGTTTCTTCAGGAAAAATGTTTTTATTATATTTAAAAATTTGTAATGAGACTTATAAATAAATAAATAAATAAAATTAAAACATTATATTTAAGACGTATAAAAAACATCATATCTAAGGACAGAACAAATATACTCGACCAATTATTATTATAAGGGAGATTGGGGAAAATGTTTTTATCAAAACATTTATTGGTGTGCAGAACCTAAATCAAAGTATTGGTTTTGTATATACAAAATTTGCATTTTTATTTAGAAACTTTTTCTCCAACTTTTTCACATTATAAAATATTGTTGTAGAACAAAAATTCATTGTCGTATTGGTAGAACAAAAATTCATTTTCTTATATAAGAAGAACTAAAATTAAATTGTTACTTCGAAGTGGGCATTAATTGAATGTGAACATGAATGCTAGGTTTTAAGAAATAAATTAATTATATCTCAAATTCTTGGACTTTATATTTTTGCTACGAGTGCCTACAATTCAAGCCACACTCCTCAATAAAGATAATTAAAATTATTAAATTTGGGCATTAAATGAATCGGAACTTGAATGAGAGGTTATAAAAAAAAATGAATTAATTATATCTCAAATTCTTGGACGTATGTGTATTTGTACTGCGAGTACTTGGGAGGACCTACAATTCAAGTCACACATATCAAGAAAAATTGTTAAAATTATTAAGTTTATCATAAAATTTAAATGATTGTCAATTTCTTTTGGCCAACAAATGATTCTCAATATTACCTTTTTTTTTTGTTGCCATCATCAATACTATTCTTATTAGTCACACTAAATATAACATTATATTAATTTCTATTCTGTCTCACTAACCTCATTAAATATGGACAGATGGAAAAAAATTATTTAATGCTCATTGAGAGAATCAAAAATCTCATAAGACGGATAAAAAATTTCTTAAGACTTCTTATAACATAGACAGGAGGGAGTACATAATTACTATCTTCAATCTTTAATATAAGATATAGTTAACTAATTTGTAGAGATTAAAAGAGGTGCTAAATTACTTAATTATAACATATATTATATAATCTCTCTAAAATATTTATATATATTATTAGATTATATATTGATTTACAAGTAAGTCTAATTAGTTTAGATAAATATGATAAATATAAATACTTTAAAAGTAATTTAGTAGCTTTCTTAATTTTTCCAAATTAATCAATCGGGTCTCATATTAGAGAGCATCTCAAATTATCTATAGGGTTGAATCTAGTTTCTTATCACGTGACGAACCAATATTTAAATTTCTAATAAAGGCAGTGTTTACTTAATTACTTTTAATGTTCAATTGTGCTTCCATGGATCCCCAATAAGAAGATACGTGCACTTAATTAGGAAAAAAACAAAAGAGCCTCTCAGATTAAAAAAATAAAATAAAAACATTATGCAGTAATTGCACTCACTCACTCAAAAATAACTAAAAGCGTGTTGACACTCTTGTCAGCCCTTTAAACTTTTTTCATTTTATATTAATTGTTTAATTGAGGCATGTATTTCAAGTTTGTGAATAAATTCATTTTTCACTATTTAAATAGTGCTTGCGGAAAATGTTTATGTTGTTTTTTTTTTAAAATTTTATTAACATACTTGATGAGGTTGAATCGGACAATGCTGGTGGACGTGTTGATATATAGAATAGATGTTAGTGAATTGACAAAAATTGTATTTAATTTCAATTAATATGTTGATGATTAATGGTCAATCATTTACTTTAAATTCAATTTGCAATCTATATTTTGAATGAAATTTTTTTAGTAGTAATTTTTTATCAAACAATTTATATATAAAGTCATGTTCATCTAAGATAAGATCAGCTTGATCATATTTGTATCATCCCTTTTTTTCCTTAATCCTTACCTTTTATTGCGTTTGAGGATTTGTTAACATGTGGTATTTCCTCTCAAATAATACTCTGATGATCAATTTTTAATTCTTTGTATTAAATTTAACTTGTAATTATAGATGGGGATTTCCTTATTTGAATTTGAATATTAATCCATGAAAATTTTAGTATTGATTTCTTAAATTTTATACATCAAAGTGAATAAATTATTTACCTATTATAGCCAATTTGAAATTTTTTTAATTAAGTTCGGGTAAATAATTTTGTTTTTGAATCAATCTAAAAATAAATAAAAATGACTATAGCAGGAAATGGAACGAGCTACCAAATCATTATTAAGATTAAATATTATATATATTTATATTAATATATGCTTTTGAGCCATCAAGATTGATCCTTGATTATTGTCTCTAGGCCATGGGTGGTGGAACTTTATAACCTGAAATAATTATTTAACAACGTTAAGGGAAAAAAGCACACACATGCATATGGTCGTCAAAAAATTTTTTTAAAAAAAAATTGTTATCAATGTCAACAAATATGAAATTTACGATTTACATCATCAATATGTAAATATAGTTTTTATTAAATTATAGGCAATGTTTTTGTCCTTTTCATTTTTTTTAACATATGAAGTATAAAAATTGTAGGCAGATGAACGTACGGTTTTAAGGGCATTTTTTATTCCCCTCCCTCCTCTTGGGAAGAAATATATTTTAAATGTTGGAGAATTTTATAATAAAAATAGGATAGAGTATTTTTTTAAGAATATTTTTGTGTTCACCTCCTAAATGGAATGAATATAAATATGTGTGAGTGTGATTGTGTATCTGTTGTAATTAACTTCTATACAAAACGGAGTGTAAGTTTTATTATTTTAATATTTTTTCCATGTTTCCGTAGGTTGTGTGTAAATACTAAATTAAATACTGAAAGGATAAGTATTTGATGCTTTTATGGTATTAAATTATTTAAAATCCTTAATTATGTGTTTATGTATATAAACATATGAAAGGTACAATTATATCTGTCTAAAAGATTTTAATATACAATGTGAAAGCAATACTTTTAAAATCTGCATCAAATAAAATTCAAAAAATTTAAAAAGCCAAATAAAAGAGAAAGGAAATTAGATTAGATTTAGTGATTATTTAGTAAGAAAGTACAAGTTAATAATTTTTTATTTGAAAGTATATTTAGACAGTATATATTATGTCCCCCCTAATTTATAGTAGCATTTTTACATTTTCCAAAAAGAAGAGATACACAAAAATACTCCCAAATCTATATATATTCCTCCAGTTCTTAACATAGGACTTAATTGTTAAGTTAATCTTAATTTTAAATGTAAGTTTTATTTACCATGTTTATCAGTTTTTCCTAAATTACTCATATTGATACTATGTCAACCATAATCAAATAAAAGAGGGAATAAGGATATTAATGAAGATAATTATAGTATTTTAGAAGGAAAAAACATGTCATATTTTTTATAATTAACTAACTTACATAAATTATCTTAATCTAATCAAATTTGCTAAATAAATCTTGCATTAAGGTCTGAAGGAGTAAATTCAGATCTCAAAATGTGGTGATCACTGTAAAATATCCACATACTAGTTGGGAATTCAATTCTGTAATAAAATTATCTAACAGCACTTAGTTTGAAATATGAAAAACGAAAAAAAAAACGAAAAGACAATAATAGTTTAGCAAATTATAATTTTAATTTATGAAGAATACTTCGGTCAAGTTTCTTATATCCACTATCTCAAATTCTCCAATCACACAGGATATGTGTCCTGTTTTTTTTTATATACATTTATAATTAAATGCTATTAATTAAGTGCTAATATTTAAAAAATAGAACAGATAGTCATATATAATTGTAGAGCTTGACATAGTAGAGATAAAAAATTTAATATAAGTATTTCCTTGCCCCTTAACCAAAAACAACACCTATTAAAATAGTGATAACTAGTTTCACGAAAAAAACTATAGTTTAACAAGTAAACAACTAATTTTAGCGTGAACAACTGTGTCATTTCACGAAAAATTTAATCCTATAACAGTTCATTAAAAATTTATAGGAATTAAGCCATTTTGAGAGATCATTTTGACATTCTCCCTTTTGACAAAAGAAAATATGGAATAATTTCAAGTTCTCAGCCTAAAAAATTATACTTTTAATAAAAAAATTTTTGAAGGAATTAAAAAAATAAAATTCAAAACTCAACCAGTATCCAAAAATCAGAGAGAGAAAGAGAGAGAGAGAGAGAGAACATACTTCCACATTGTAATCCAGCCGAAACAGTCACTCCACAACTCCTAGCAACATCAACCACTTTCTTTGGGCTCATAACTCCCTCAATCTCTTTGGTAAACAACTTACAGAGGCAGGGGATATCGGCAATTTGCATCGCCGAGCAGCACTCTGACGACGGAGGAACCTCCGGACCCGGTGGCACGACCGATTTGCCGCATATAGTCGCGATCTCAGAAAGAGCAGCTCCTTGGCAAAATTGTGCAGTCACGCCATGAAAGTTGCATAACATGTTAATTCCAATCACTATAAGCAAAGCCAAAGCCAAGAAATGAGTGCTACCTCTAATAGCCATAATCACTTTTTGTGTTTTATAATTTGTCTCTCTTGAAAACAAACAAAGTTTGATGATGATGAAGAAGGCTTGTTTGTGAGGCCTTAAATAGAGGTTGAGGATGAGGAAGGGAAATAAATGCCGTATATTTAAGTTATTTATTAATTATTAATTATGCCGATTTATTTCTAATTTAATGTCCTTTGATATTAATGGAATTAAATAGGCAATCATTGAATTGAATGTTAGATTTAGTTAGAATATGATCAAAATAGAGTTGAACACTTTCGAACAGTCAATATTTTCGTGGTCATTATTTCCCAAAAAAAATTGAATATATTTATATGGAAGTCATTTTTATACTTGATATGGATTATTTATATTTCTCTTTTCCATTTTAAAGTAATTATTTTCTTGCCAGCCATTTTAAAGTAATTATGGTTTCTTATGTATAAGAATCAATCAAACTAGATTAAATAGTCTCAATTTAATTTGTAGTAACTGAATTGAATGATTGACTTAAAATAGAGGAAGCATGACCCAATCGCTGAAAGACCACAGTCAAAGTTTTTTTAAAAAAAAAAAGTGAATGGAAATGTCCTTTATATACATATATATATAATTTCATAACATAATTTAATTGTAAATTCCTATAACTCAATTGCAAATCATTGAAAGTCACTCGTCTCGGGGGAAAAAAAGTTGCAAAAAGGGTGCAATTTGCAAAAGGTTTATAAATAACAGAAACTTAGTTGTAATACCATTTTTTTAATAACTGTAATATCAAAATTTTACTTGGAAAAAAATCAGGAAGATTAGTTGCAACTAAGATATAAAGAGTAGAAGACTTTCATCACTAACGCTCTTTGATTTTCAATTAAGTTTATGAGTTTTGTAAATAGTTTCTAAAATTTGTAACTGACATTCCCCTATTTGTGAAACTTTTGCAATTTGCAACATGTTTACAATTAAACATAATAACACACACATATTGGCCTTGATTAAACACATAGCTTAAACACTAGATTACAAAATCATATAAATCAGAGGCATTATAAATGATAATTATATAGTTTGGCCTCTTAAGCCATCAAGATTCATTCTTGAATGTCGAGGGATCTGGATCCTCTCAGAATCCTTCTTTCTCCTTTTCTTCTCAGAGTCTCGTCTCTACCATTGGAACAGATAATGAATAGTTTAGATTTAATATTTTAAAAAGTAGATGTTTACCTTTTCTCTCTCCTATTTATGCAATGTTATAATAATAGTTTTATAAAATATGAAATCTGAACCATTCATTATTTGATCCAAAGGTGCGAATCAGATTTTAAGAAGAAAAGGAGAAAGAAGAATTCTGAGAGGATGCAGGCCCATTTCAGGGTATTGGGAGCACCTGAACTCTTAATTGATTTCCATAATGTGTTATTGGATTAATGTTCTTCAATATTCTCTCCCTCCCTTATTATAAGATCCAATTTTTTGAATAGGTTTGTCCTTTTTTACAAGATTCTTTTTGAGTTTATCTGAATATTTAATGTATTATTACCTATTTTATCCCTAGTTTAATGCATTTAATATATTCTCTTTCCTCATTTATCTCACTATTACTCTCTCACATCTACCCATTTATATTTAGGGGTATATTTGAAAAAAAAATTATATTTGCTACATATTAATTGCTTTTAACTAATTTTAACTATTTTCTTAAACCGTGTAATTTAGTTAAAAAGATCTTATAATAAGGACGGAGTACCATTAGTCTAATTAATTGTGTGAATTGAATTTAATGCTTTTCTTTAATCCAGTTGACTTGAATTGCATTGAATTGAATTTAATGTCCTTTAATTAATGCTACTAGTGAATTGAATTTTTTGCCTACATGTTAGTGAATTAAAATCATAGCAACATTGTCCAATACAGTTAAAAATATTAGTTGTCAATGTCACTAATTTGATAGTCAATATTATTTTTTTTAACATTAGGAGATAATATTATTATGGTTTCATATTTTCAAAACAAATTTACACTGAAATTTTTTTCTCAAACACTCAGGTTTTATGAGTGAAAATGTCCAAAGCAAATTTCCACCTTAACCTGTTAAAAGAATTTGACTGGGTAGTTAAACCTCTGACTGGGTAGTTAAGTCTAAGGAGGTTTTACAAGAGTGACTATATAAAGTCAAACTTTCATAATTTAATCGTATCTGGTTTATTTTCAAATCCATATTATGTTGACAATTCTATGATAAGGTTTGTTGGCAATTGGTCCAGTTTTTCAACATTCGCTTTTATTTCAAGAAGTTGTTGATAATTCCTCATTTCTGTTGCAAAAGTTCTTGTTTGATTACTAGTAACAAACTGGTGTTTTCTGATCTCCGTACTTCACAAAAAAAAAGCCTTTTTTAAAGTCATTCTTGACATCAATATACCTTAAAGTACACTCTCATGTCTTAAATTATTCTCATTCCTCTTTGGATTTTCTATCCAACCTGCGACAATCTTAAGCACGTTTTCTCATTTTTCTATATTCTTCAATGTATGCCATGTTTACTCAAAAGGCTTGAGAGTTTATTTTCTAATCACTCAATAATCATCTATTGTCTTAACAGTTGAACAGACTAAAGATTGTGAAATCTTGAGTGTGACTTGATTATACTATATATATAAGGGGACCTTACACGTAAACACCGAAAGTTTTATGCCATACCAACAGCTCAGTTTAATTAAGTAAAGTTAAATGATTTGAGTCTTGAATCATTTTGATAAGAAATAAAAATATGGATGAAGAAGAAAATGGGACAAGCAACAAAATTATCATTATGATTAAACATAATATTATGTACATGTAATTATGACCTTAATTAAACACATAGCTTAAACAAGAGTGGTCAAAAGCAGATAAAAACAAATTCACTGTAAATATAATTATTAAATATTTCGGCTTTTTAAGCCATCAAGATTGATCCTTGAATGTAGACTCAGTTTATATAGGAGGGTGAGGCCTGAGGTGGTGGAACTGTATAACCTGAAATAGTTATATAATATCGTTAGAAATACACACATATTATTGTCAAAATAAAAAAAATAATTTTTAATTGTCAGTTTAAAAAACAATGGTAATTTTTTTCATGAAAAATGATGACTTGTTTGATAAAAAATTAAAATAAAAAATTAATAAATATCCATAGAGAGAGAGAGAGAGATAGGGGCATACTTCCACATTTCATTCCAGCAGGAAGATCCTTTCCACAAGTCCTACAAACATAGACTACTTTTTCCATGCTCACCATCTTCTCAATCTCTCCGGTAACATATTTGCAGAGGCAGGGGATGTCGGCACCTTTCACCGCCGAGCAGCACTCCGCCGACGGCTGAACCTTGGGGCCGGGTGGCTCCACAAACTTTTTGCATTTGCCTAACAGATCATCAGGAGGGGTTCCTTTGCATTCTGATTGTGCAGAGACACCATGAAAGTTGCATAACATGATGATACCAATCACCACACAAAATGTCAAAGCCAAGCAGCGAATGGCCATCTCTTTTAGAGATTGATACACTCAATTTTGGTTGCTTGCTATGAGAGAGAAGAACTTGCTTGTGCATTACTTTGAGCTTGTGAGCCCTTAAATAGAGGAAGAGGATGGTTAGGGAAATTAAATTAATCAGCTAGGTTCAGTTAACTTATTTAATGTTCTTCAATACTATTGGTCTAATTAATAATTTGAATTGAATGCTTTAATGTCCTTCAATACTATTAGTCTAATCAATAATATGAATTGAATGTTTTTTTTTTTTCACTGAAGCTGAATTTAACTGAATTTAATGTTCTTCAATGCTGTCAATGAATAGAATGGTTGACTTAACGACAATATGATCAAAATATTTCCTTTTGTCCTTGTTATAAGAGGCTACTAATTAATTCACACTATCAATATTAAATACTCCTCCGGTCCTATTTATAAGACAGAGAGAAAAGACATTTTTTGATCCTATTTATAAGGCACTAAAAGAAATTTTTTATATGGATGTACAATTTTACCCTTTATTTATTATTGCGACTTGACTTTGTTTACTGTATATTAAATATGGATAAAACTGAAAAGTTATTGAATTTTAAATGAGGTTAATAAAGTTTAAGGTTTTTCTCAGTCAATGTAAAATGTGTTGGAAGTGACTTATAAATAAGATGAGATGAGCATATGAAAAAAATATTTAAAGCTCACTAAAACTATCAAAGTGTCTTAATGTCTGATAAAACTAATAAAAAATATTTAAAGTTCATTGAAACTATCAAAGGGTCTTAATGTCTTATAAAACTAATAAAAAATATTTTCTAGAATATGTCTTATAATAAGGGCTACAGCTAAGAGAGTATATTTAGAGGGTGTTTGGGCAGAATCCAACTCATAGTTTTAAAAATAATTTTATGGTATACGAAATAAATATATGAGAAGAGATTTATCTTGACTGTGTGAAAGTATTTTTTTTAAGTGCTTTTACCTAATACCAAACACCCTCTTAATCTCTTCTATTATTTGGGAAAGTCAACAGCAGGCTGATGGTATTTAATTACTTTAAATACGCACTCCTTCTTATTTCAAATATAAGTTATTTCTAACTAGTTTGCATGTATTAATACAAAAATAAAAGATTAAACTTAGGTCAAGTAGGTCCACGTGGCCAATTAATTTCTGCCATGTGTATTAGATTTACACATAATCATTTACCCTGTTAAACCACCGCTTGCCATTGTGTGAATAAACCCAAAGGTAAAATCTTGCTTCTGTCATATTTCCTTTTATTCCTGAGATTTTCCTGTGTATTCACAAGCCCTTAAGTGGAGAAGAAATCTACCCCGTCTTCCCAACAAGAAGGAATCAGACCCTTCCACCGCCGATTCATCACCCAATAACAATGCCACTTGGATATTTTTGCCCATTCCTCCTATCGCTGCTGAAGACTACTGACAGAAATATATAGAAGAGTCTTTATTCCAAGGGAGGAAATTCATTTCCCTTTTAG